AGACACTGTGTCTGTGTGAGCAAAGAAAACAATCAGTATAAATATAACGATCATTATACTATACATCGCACATCCTGCGATGTGACTATCGCGGATGCGCACATCGCGATATCAATGCTGAAACGATATATCGTGCAGCCCTAGTTGTGATTATTTTTTATGATTATTTTACTTCCTTTTATGTAAAGTACTTTGAATTACCACTGTGTATGAAATGTGCTACATAAATAAACTTGCCTTGCCTGCCTAAAAGTGAATATTTGTATTTCTATTAACTAACGTTAACAGATAAAAAAAAAAACTGTAAAAAAAAATGTTAGTTGCTAACTAACATTAATTAATGGGACATGTAAAAATAGAAAAAAAATAATTCATTAATTTACTTGCTTGCTTCTTTTATTAAGCAAGGATGCATTAAATTGATCAAAAATGACAGTAGATACTTTTATATTGTTACACAAAAATCTATTTAATAAATGGTGTTATTTTGATTATTAATTAAAGAACAGAAAAATATGTATTATGGTATTAACAAAAAATATTAAGCAGCACAACAGTTTTCAACATTGCCATCACAGGAATAAATTACATTTTTATATTAAAATTAAATTTATAATATTGAAATGATAATATTAATATTTTAATAATATTTCACAATATTACTTTTTACTGAATCTTTTACCATAAGAAACTACTTTTAAAAGTACTAAATACCTTTTAACGATAGTGTATGTGGGTAAATAGTGCTATTTTCTATGCACTTATTTTGGTGCGTATATATGAAGATTAAATATTAATTCTGTGTTCATTTAAAAACAGTGAGGAAAACATGCCTCAATGATTTTAACTAGATTTTACAGTATTTAACATCTTGCATTAAATATTTCTAATCTACTTGCCAACAATGATTATTCAGCTAAAATGTTCCTATACATAAATGCTGACATATAGATCATTATTAAAAGGCTGAAAGATGGAGCAATATTTTAGCTATCTCACCCAGCCTGACCTTTACTGAGCATCTTTCTTTATAATACAGGTACGTCACACCTCTTCAGGAAGACAACAGACGATTGTACCCACCAGGTTTGCTGAGACACCACCTGGATACAAAATATTACTAACTAAAGACCTTCACCAAAGCATGAAAGCATCCAGACACATGACGTGCTTGTTCATCGTGATACGACCAACGATCTGTGTGCTTTTTATGGCTGTGTGTCCTATTTTCAGACCCCTTTCATATTCACAGCATGCTGGATCTATGAGTGGAGTCTGCACTCGGGCTATTTATAACCCTCCTTTGTCCACAAACGGGATAAAACATCCAGGGAACAGGAAAGGTCAGTCAGCTGATTATTGCTGACACACTCCCTACAGCAGTCAGAGTCTTGGCTACATCCATCTCGAGACGGGTAACATTTACATGGGTTCATTTACATGAGTGGTGCTCCTCGCCCATACAAAAGTCCACAACCCAATGCCAGGGTGTTGCTATGTGATTGCTAGTTAGGAGTTTTGAACAGTTTTTAGTGCATTGCTATGTGGTTGCTTACTAGCTTAAGTCAAAGCGGTCTCACCTAAAGTCTCTGAATATAAATTATGAAATTAGAGTCATTTAATTGTTATTTTTTTTGTATTATTTATAGTTTTATAAAAATATTTTAAAATAGCATTTATTTTCATATTTTTGGTTTTCTTTTTCGTCAAATTTTTTATCATTTATTTTATAAGGTAATAATTCTATATATTATATTATACATATATATATATATATGTATAATTTGTAAATACTTAAAAGATTCAAGCTTTAATGAACAAGATTAGCAAGTTTAGAAATTAATAAATAGGGAAAAAATATGAACTTAAATTCTAAATAACGAAAGTATTACAAATAACTTTAATAATTAAATAAACATAAAAATTATATACTACATAATTATATAATAATATTTATCAATTACTACATCATTTATACACATTTCATATAAGACAATAATTATATATAAATGTAATAATTATGTTTTGAAACTACTTAATGAAAGATATTCAATAATATTATTTGAGATTAGAAATGACTATTTACTTACAATATTTAAATATTTTTGAACAATTTATTTTCATATTTTCGGTTTTCTTTTTTGTTTAATTTTTGTAATTTTATGTGCTGCTATTTTTTATTATTGCTGTCATTTTATACATATCAGTATTTAGTTTTAAATTATTTTTATTTTAGATTTAGTTTTTATTTATGTCCATTTTAGTACTTTTAGCGTTTAGTAATGTTAGTTGTAACATTGCTAATTTATTGGTAAAATATTCGTTTTCACTAACATTTCATATTTACTACTAGTTTTTTCAGATATTTACTAATAGTTATAGTTACTACTAATAATAGTAGGATTACTAATAATACTAATATTTATAAATATTTGTAATTATTACTTCCTAATAGTTATAATTACTACTAATAATATTAGAATTACTAATAATAGTAATAATATTTACTAATAGTGCTTACTTATATCACTATTATTTTAAAATAGCATTTATTTTCATATTTTCTGTTTTCATTTTAATTTTGTATTTTTTGTTTATTACTGTCATTATTTTTTATATTTTAGTATTTCATGTTATGTTTTGTTTTAGTTCAGTTTTTATTTATTTCCATTTAGTAATTTTCATGTAACTTATTTCAGTTAGTTGCCAAGGCCACGTCCTATTTCCTATTTTATATTAGCTTTACTTCAATGTACAACAAAGGCATTTTATTTTTAGTTAAAGATAATAACCCTGCCACCAAGCACAAGTCTGATTGTAAATTATTAGTCTGACCACTTTGAAATGTTTCCTCAACAAGTCTCATTCATTCACACCA